GAAACGATACGAAATAAGTGAATTGTAGATATTTATGTAGATTCCTTTTTTTATGGATTAATTTACATAAACTGGAATTTATTTAACTTACTCGATCGAATTCACTTATCGAAGTCGTCAGACGTAATATTACATCCAATTACTGAATGAATATGTACTAATGATTCTTCAATAAAAATGGCAGATTTATGGAATCCATAATCAGTTGATAATGGAACAGGTTTTACCAAAATTCACTCTGTCAATGTGGTTTGCATACAAATTCTCTATTTTGTTGTATAAACATAAATGAAACAAACGACAGGCAAACTAACTTTCATCGTAACTGAATGTCCAAGTGAGTGACACAAAGTCTAAGGAACCGTCGAAGGAATCACCTTTCTATCAGGACACCTAGTATATCCGCGACGGCGGCGATAATTTAGTGTCAGAGTCTAGTGGCCGTAAAACTCAGCGCGCGCAGGAATACCTCGAAGCCTGTCCGCTGCTCGAAACCATAAACAACGATCTCTTATTTCGACGACGCTGGCTACGCCTATGTCTGTCGGTTCCAGCTCCCTTTCTCACAGGTGTAACCAACCCAATACCGAGCCCACACACGAATCCTGCCTAATATTAATATTCCTATTGGTAGACAAATAGAAAAAAAAGTAGAGTCAAAATTAGTACCATGTTTAAGTGAAGTTTGGACCCAAAGTTTGCTCTAACGACCAGAAACTGTAAAAGTATATAGAAACGTGTTTTCATAGATTAACAAAATGAAAAAACGATCAGAAACTTAGTAAAAACATTCGTAGATATCATTGGTATTTTAATTTTATTTCACATGCTGTAAATGACAATACAGCATTCGTCACGGGAAAATAATTCACCCAGCAGAGAAGTGTCGTTTGGATCAAGTTTATCTATCAGGGCATAAAAATTTAAAGCTCAATTTCAAAGTCTAAGATGAGAATCCCAGGAGGCAGGAAACTGGATGGCTTCGAGAGAGCATCGAAACAGGAAATACCCTATGATATACACGGCCTGGGAGTAACCAGTGACTACACGGAACATTAGTTATTCTGTCCATGGAACTGTTGCCCCGGAGAGATAGTCCTGTCCCTGTCATTCTGCTAAAAGACTCAGACTATTTTTAACTTGGAAAAATGGTTCTCACTTAATATTACTGTTCCAGTTATTAAAAGCACTGTACAATCAACATTAATCTACTACACGTTCTTCACCATTACTAATTTTATTCAATAACAAATTACTCTCATTAATCGTCACTTAGATAATTGATATATCTACGAGTTATTAATTAGAACTCGATAAAATATTTTATCTTCCATTCAAGAATTAAATTATTAATTCTATCAGTAAGTAATCCACTATATCTTGTGAATCTTTGTATTTATTTCGAAACAATTAAAAATTCTGTGCCATCTTAACAAATCATTATCCGCAATTTTTACCAAAAACAGGAAATCAGAAAGGTATCCTGAATTAAGCTATATTCCCAGTATAGTGGAACCATAGTAGATTACCTACTTATCGATACGCCTAATAAATTAATCGAATAATGGTCCTCACGTGTCGTAACACACCCCGTGCGAGCTGCTAACGCGCAACACTGTGTTGTAAAGGGTGAAATTCTACGATGGTTCGCTGCCATTAAGGTCTGATCCTCCCGATTTATCGTTCATCGATCCCGCAGAAACATGAACGTTCCCGATGCTCGGTCGAGCGAGTTAATCTTCACGACGTGTTGATTAAACGAGTGTTATAAATACGAAAGGCGATCCAGGCGTTGATGGTAATCGGTTCCTCGAGTTTCATCGAACCACCGCTGACAGAGTTGTTCCCCTGTAGCTCGATCGTGATCATTTGCCAGTGGATATTGGCGTGATCTAATTTTGGCCGGTGGCCTGGCATCACCCTGTCGCGTTCGATTATGAGCTTGCACAGCTTACGATTGACCGTGTAATTAACCAGCGATTGCCGGTGGATGTTTCATGAACGTGATGAGAGAGTGGTTGCAATTTTCAACGGAAGATTGATCAGTCTGATGAAATTTCTATAATGGACTCGATGATCGATCTATAATAGTGATTTTTTACATTCAAATTATGAATGTGAACAAATTTCTGAGTCACTGTACTTGAAAACCTCCGAAACGTTTAGCTAACTCTGTTAAATATAATCGAATAAACCTCTTCGAGATTTTTCAAAATGTTGCACTCCCAACATGCCGTTCCTACAACATTCATCGCTCGAACGAGAACTTAAATTACTTCGAAAAATGAAACTCACCGACTGAACACATCCTTGCGATGGAAAGAACCAATAGGCAGAAGCCAGACGGAAGGGAGAGGGACCAGGGAGAGTTCCAGAGGCTCGTTAATATCGTGCCCCCGTAAATATTTTCACCTTCGCCGGGCAAACAGGCGCGAACTTCTGCGCCCGGGGTTCAATCAGCCGGGGCTCACGCGCGATTTCTTGTTTTCCCCGCTCAAAGGAAAGACGGGGGAGAGGGGCCAGGCGGTCTCCTCCGCCGGGTTCGTTTGCGTCCCGGAAGCAATTTCCATTTTTCAAAGGGGCCAACGCGAGCAACCGATGGGGAACTTGACGAAACCAAATATGCGGCTCGCCACGACGTTCGCTTTGATCAGCTCCTTGCTACGGAAAAAAAAGAGGGTGAAATCGCAGCGCCCACCACTGACGTTTCCTCTCCTTTTTCTGTCGCGCCTACTACCAATCTCTCCCGGTTAATGTACGTCGTCTCTGTTTATGTACACCTCTTCCGGGGAAAGCAACTCCTTGCTGGCGAAATAATTAATATCGAGAACTCATAACGAGCAGGGGAGATAGTACTTTGAAGGCTGTTTACGATTGAAAACGAACGTGTTTTTTCAGTGTGTGTTTTGGTCAGTGATGGGACTGATACGATGCTTATCAATGACATTCAAACAATTCGATACCTAAATATTGTTGCGTGGGCGCGGCACGACTTCCAATAAATAAAGACAATGTTTATTAAAAGAAAGAATTATTTATTTGAAGAGGAGGAGTGCTTATCTTGAAGGAAATTTGTAAGGTGCCGAAATAGTATCCCTCTACGATAACTGTTCCAAAGTAGGCCCGGGTTTCGAGCATTAATCGAAGATTTACTGTAGTCTACACCACAACATTTCAGCTAAATGTTCCCATAGACGATAAACGATATAGAGTTGGAGAGAAGGTTGGGACGACAGATTTTTCGCCTGCTATAGTGCCATACGATACGACAGCGCCACAAACGTTTGCAACTGTCGTTCAAATGATTAAAACGACCTAGGTTATACTATCAGTTCTACGACAAATCGTATCGTCTATGATGTGTTTAAATACCATCGAAAATACCACGTTCACAAAAAGTGTAGCAAGAATTCGCATCTGTTCAGACGAAAGAGCGATCCGCCTAATTTGTAGCCGCTCGTAATACGCCTTTGAATATCAGCATCGGGTCAGGCGAGATATCGGCTAATTCCGTGGATTCCTCCGCGGGGGTAGAGTATTCTCGACACGTGAGAGAAAAAAGAAGGGAAACAGGAACGGAGGGCCGGGTATATAGAGAGGTTTAATACGATCCAAATAGCCGTCGGTGTCCACGCGGAAAATCCGAATTTATGAACCTCCGGAAGGATTTAATTTATTTAAATTTCCGGCCAGGAGAGCGCCCTCCCACTTTTAATCCTGATTTACCACATGGCTTTTCTTGTTACACACGTAGGGCTCGCGCGCACGCCGAGCAGATTAACCGACCTGTTATCGCGCGACTGCTTATAGAGCACCGCGTTCATGCGGCCCGATAAGCGTCCCAGGAAACTGGACAAAAGGGTCTTCGAACTTTAGTAGTGACATTTCCGGAAGAGGATACCTGAGATGAAGAAGGAATGGAATTTTGTTGCACCATTGTTCAATGGGATCCCATTATGGGGAATCGTAGCCATCGGTCATATAAGTAAATTGGAAGTGTTACAATCGATAACCCTACGAATGATAGTGAATGCATCATGGATCATAAGAACCTTAGATCCAAAAAAAGATTTAGATATATCAACTGTTAGAAATAAAACGACCAAATACACAAGTAGAATCCTTATAAATCTACTAACAGTGGAAATGTCATCGATCGTCATTCCTAGACGACCTAATAATCTTCAAGAAAATCGTTAAACAACAATTCTTCGAACAGCGATAACAGTAGATCCAACACAAGACTATAAAAATGAAATCACCCTACGACTACTACGTTAACATCGTAATAACTTTAATAAACAAAATCAATTTCCTCGAGAAATAATAAAGAAACCGGAAAGTATAACGGATGTAGCAATGTTAGCGAATCAAAATCCTGAATCTCTGAACTGCATTGTATTCGAGCGTTCGCGTTTAAAGCCCACGTTTCCTTTCCTGTCGCCATGAAAGAACACGGCATTAATCACGCGAAAGAGGCAGGAACGCACAAAGGAAGCAAACTGGAAGTCCGGTTAATCGGTCCTCTAATCTCTCCGGTGTCCACGGGGTCGATCGATCAAAAACAGTGTCGGATAGGAAAGTACACACACACGCACACGCACACACATACATAGTGCCATGGCCATCGCGATTTTTCATTTGTTTCGCGCCAGACTGGCCTTTCGTCGGCGAGATTAGGCGCGTTCCGAACTTCATTCGTATCTCCCCGGTTAAGTAATTGGAAGGTCTGGGCCCCGGGGTGATTTATCACCCGGTTCCTTGACGCAACGAAAGACGAAGGGGTTAGAGGGCAGAAATTGTTGCCAAGGCTTGACCAATGATCGATCGTTTCGATAGGTGCACCGGGCAGACCGTCTGTTGTCGGTCTGGGATCGTGATTAAGTGATTTCCACGGGGAAAACATCGTGAAGGGCAAGAACATATGTGTGTCTGTATGGGTGAAAGGTGTGGGAGTTCGTTATTCGCAGATCGTTATAGAGTTTTCTTTCGATTTTCAGGTCAGAACGACATCAAGAAGCTGCGCAAGGAGAACGAGCAGCTGCGTAGGGAGATATGGAGCCTCAGGGACGAGTACGACAAACTCGAGGAGATCCTGAAGAGGCAGAAGAGCCGCGGAGAAAGCGAAGAATACGAGGTAGTTGGAGAAACTTTCTGGGAAACTGTGGGTATAATAAGGGTGAAGAGTGATCGATAATTCGGTGTCGAGGGTTTTCGTAGCTTTCTTGTTGCGAGATTCGTTTATCCCCAGTGAATCGATTGAATGTATACCGAAAACATCCGATTCCGATGTTCCTGCTACCATTGTATCATTTAATCGTAGTATCTATCAATTCGTGGTTACTTAAAACAATCGTAATATTTACGCAGTCCAATTCCATGGACTTGTGTTTTTCTATTATTATCAGCCCAAGCGAAATTCAATAGAATCCTGTATTTCAGATTCGCTCCGACGAAGATGACGGCCTGCAGTCGGACTATTCCCTCGAGGAGGACGAGGAGTTCGACGAGGACAAGACCACTCAGGACTCCAGCAAGGAGCTCAACAAAGCTGAGCAGCTAGAGAACGCGGAGAACCAGAAAATCTCCTCAGAGAAGATGACCAGCAGCCTGCACAGACTACACGTGGACTTCGACGACCTATCCGTGGTCGAGGAGGAGGAAGAGTTAAAGAAAGAAAAGGATAAAACGTCCTCGGAAGATGGCCAGCAACTGAAGGACGAGAAGAGTCCCTTCACGTTTCTGAAGCCAAGACATCTGCACGAGAACATCCCATTTTACCCGGGCACTTACGAACCACCCGGACTGAGTGGCCCAAGTTACTACGCCGACTGTCCCTTTAAATTTCCGAGCACCCTGAATCTGATGATGGCTCCAGGTGTGCCAGACGTAGCTACCACGTGTCCCAGATTGCACACCGAACCGTTGCTCCCAACCCTAACTGGTGGTAACCTGGACCAGGTCAACGATCAGATTCTGCATGCCCCACCGGCAGGCTGGCAGAGCAATCTGATAATACCTCAGAAACAGATGACAGAATACGGTGATGTTGCTATTCCTTCAGGATTGGAAGCGTTCGGAGGAATTCATCGGGAAGATCAGCAACGGTTTGCGCCCTCTGCAACCGGATTTCCGAACTATTCTGGAACAATTCAGAGAAGGAACGTTGGCCTGAAGCAATCAGATAGTCCCTTCAACGCGACACCCTTCGAAAATCAGTTTAACCCCGAAAAAATGGTCGTTGAGAATGGCTGGGGCTTCGACGTTAATTTGTTGAACTTGAATCCTCTACAGGATCAAAGTCCCAGCGACTTGAGAACGAAAGATGCAGAGGGGAAACCAAAGCACTTCTTTGCTCCGTTGCCGTCGAAGATGAAGAAGCAATCTGAGGAACCATCGCCAACGGTTAGCCATTTTGGAACAGGAAGCAGTTCCTGTAGCGGTAAAACTGAGTCTACAGTGGTGTCTAAAAGCCAGTTGATGCTTCAAAAGGGATCGGCTGATATATGCGTGAATGGAGCTGTGCCCTGCGAAGACAGTATTCACAGGAATAAGGTTGAACAGAGGACGTTCCTCAGCACGGAAAATCTGTTGATCACTGATGAGAGAAGTAATACAGGCAATCAACTTATGAAATCCATGTCATGCCAAGATTTGCCCAGCGAATCCCAGCCTACCTCGATCAGCACCGAAGGCAGACCACAGATGATGACTCAGAGCGACAACACTTTGGACAACATATCCGACTCCAAACCGTACAGGTCTCATTTAAGTGTCACCCTAAAGAGGCCACAGTTCAAACAAACGGCCAGTCCCGACACACCAGAAATACCTAAGCTACCTTCCATGGATTATCGACTGTTCAAAAATCCCTTTCTACGAACCTTCGATCCAACGTGCAGTTACAAAGACCAGAACAACGTCACGAGGCCTCTATCGGTTCAAGTAAACGATGATAATGTCTGTTATTATCGGCCACAGCCTAACATCGCCCCTTTTCACCAAGGAACCCAACTAGGCGCGAGATACAGACCTGTCCAACCCGATCAGAACCGCCTTCTGATCCCTTCGAATCAATTGCTTAATGGGAAACTGGCATCGCCGGCTAACAAACACGATATTCAAGTGACCTCCTTCGAGAAGCCAAGTCCACACACCCTAATCGGTTCGACAACTCCGTACGAACTGAACACTCTACGAAGACTGAACACCAACCCTTATCTTCAAAGTCAGAACTTATACCAAAACATGCCCTTCGTTCCGAGGGGAGGCTTGTATCCACAGCGGGGGATGATGTACTACAATAACTTAACACTGAAGGTGCCGGTTCAGACGCAAACCTCGATCGACGGAGATTCCCATCACGAGGACGAGCAAATGTGTTCGCACGAGGAGAGTGGACCAAGTACACCAGCTGGCCAACGTCGGAAAAAGGCGATCAGAAAGGAAAAAATCGGATTGGCCAGGGAACAGAATCTTTCCCCGTTAGCTCAAAAGAGGCTGAAGAAACAGATCAGCGTGACGTCGTCAGATGTTCCTGAATCCCCCGGCGTAAAGGTGGCCGGAAAGAGACCCAGAAGATTAAGTATAACCACGACCACCACGTCAGAAGGCCAGGAGGATAAACACGAGAGCAGATCTTCTTCTTCTGGCCAAGATTCTCCTAAGAAGGATCAGATGAGAAGGGTATCGTTGTACTTCAATACTAAGAAAAGACCTTCTCTGACTTCCGTGAAGACTACCAGGAGTGGGAGCGTGGACATATCGAAAGATAAGGACACGGCGATGAGTTCGGAAAGGGAAAGGACAAACTCTATCAGCAGTAGAGATACTCCTTCCAAATCGAGAAAAGCTAGCACCAGCAGTGGCAGTGTACCCTGGTGTGCTTGCTGGGGTAATGGATGTATTTAAGTCTGATTCTGTTTGAATGGGACTGGATACTGAAACAATTATATGCATCGTCATTATGTGAGAGTTAAGTGAACAGTGTAGGACACGATAAGCATCTTGTGCATTGGTGTAAGACTATAAACTGTTGCCTGAAAGACATCCATTAAGAATTTTAGTGTGACGGTCGTAAACTTGGTGAAACTTTAAAGGTGCTATGAAAACTCCATAATGTGGACAAGCTTCAAACAATTATCCAACTGAATAACTTATTCCGTGTCGAGTATACGACGAAGTTTAGGCTACGCAGATATTCGCACAGGGACAACTGACCAAGAGATCAAAATTATAGGAATGAAATATTAACCAGACGGCGATATACTCCGCGAGGACCAGTATCGACCTTCCCTCTAGGGGAACCGCTGCAGCCAATAGCAAGGGTCGTAAAAGTACCAGCGACAGAGAACAGGGACACCATAAACCCGTTGCTGTTCAGGTGACAGTTGCAACGGAGGAGGTTCCTGCCAGGAATACGGGAGCACATTCTGCCCTCGATATTTAAGGTGAACGTGGATAGAATTAAATTTGAAAATTAATATTTAACAGGAAAGTATCTTGGACCTAAGCTGGCTAGTGTAATAGATACTCAACGACCCATAGATGTAACCATTCGATCGGACGATCTTCTATCGGTTAAGTGAAATATTAGTTAATTATATTTGTCGGACTAGTAATCCTTCACTGTAACAGTGGCTGGTACCGGATACAAACGTACATGCATTTACTTAGCGTTAATGTTGTATCGTGTACATATTACGATTGAGTATAATACTGACATGCTGTATATTTAACTAGTTGTTCCTATTGATGTACTTAAATTCATTGTTCGTATTCTTATTTGTGTATAAAAAAAAACGGAAAATATAACAAATAATAATTTTCACGTTTTCATGTCCCACGTACGCTATGTCCTCCCTCATCGGATCATTCCGTAATCCGAATGATTCAGCATGAACGGTCGACAATTTCAGTAAAACTTTCCGCGAACCACCACCATCGGCCAAGGTAAGATATTACCGCAGTCGGTCGTATTTTGGCGCGAGTCATTCGCTCCGCTCTATAATTCATCGAATTATTGATTATTCTACGCAACTTATTCTAAGAGCCTCCCGTTTATTAATGGCCCCGCTGAGGGGTGGAGCCCGAAGGCAAAGTTCGCGGGCATCCTCTCTCACTCCGCGTAAACTTCTGAAGCGTGTCTGTGTTCCGGTTATCCCTCGCCCCCTTTCCGCTTAAAGGGGTGAAAACCAGCACCGAGGGGAAAATTTAAAGAAGTCCGTAGAAAGGATTCGTCCGAGTAAATTGAATGCACTTATAATTAAACGCGCTCGGTTTCTTACGTTCCCTGGGAGCGGAGCTTCTGGAACTGAGATGAGAAACCGCAGGAACGAGAAAAAAGTTCAAGAAAAAGGAAAAGACTACGAGTACACTCGCTGAAAGATGATTCAACCGAAACTACGAACAATCTTCCCTGAAAAATAGAAGTAAAAAAAGAAGTACTCACTGAAAAGTTTCCTGACAAACCATGCACAGTTTACGCATCGATCGCGATATATGTACCCTGTTCCGAGAATCATCAGAGGCTCCCCTCTATACGGTGCGTGGACTAAAAAGGTCTTCCAATTATTTCGAGCAGAGTTCAGAAGAAATGATCCGCGAACAGGGGGTTGAAAACGGTCCAGGGCGATTCCGACGGCGACCCTGGACGAGGGGGCGAGAGAGTTCAAAGAAAAAGGAGGCTGTATCGGCGCACAATGGCCGCTACGCCCCGGGTGTAAAGCTTTCAGCGACGGGACAGCTCGCGGAGAAAAGGCGCGAGAGTTGGTTGCAAGGGTGTCAACGGTTAGGAAAGATGAAGGGGGGTGGAGGAACGGCGTTGGGGGTGGCGGCGTGGCGCAGACTGGCGCAATTAAAATGCAAATTATCTCTTTTCGCACGGCCATATTTCCAGAAGAGCCCCGCCGCTACTCTACGCCTTCACCGATTAACTTGGAACTAATTTACGAGACGACTCCGCCGCCAAGTCAGAGGAAGACGTTTTGTCTCGAGCCAGATAGAGCCGGCACGTTAATACGGAGCTAATGTCATTTGCAAATGTCAGTCGGGGCCAGTTTCTTCGCCCTGCACGCCGTGATTTCCGCCGTTGCTGGAGAGACGGAGGGATACGACGAAATTGCGATGGGTACCCCGGAGTTTGCCCCTGCCGATTAGAAACTCGCGTGTGAGATATAGGTGGTCCTGCGCTGTTACTTGTGATAATATAACGTGAGAATCTTGCTTTATCCAGCGCAGATACGAAAAGAGAAGAAAATTGTACCAGTTGAAAATTGCGCAGAGATTGATATAGATTAAATTGAGTTACATTGACTGAAGCTTAAGAACATGTTTAACCTTCTCTCTGTTTGTAAGAGTGGATGTTTTTCATGGTTGAAAAGATGACGATATCGGGATCTAGATAGACCATTATTCATTTGTCTTTAGATTTGTTTTGAATTGAGTTTCTTCGAAATATGTAGGCCTTCCTGTGAAATGCTAATACAAGCAACTGCAATAACTTGCATGGTGTTTGGAAGCTGAATAGGTGAACGACATTTCTGAAATCCAAGGTGAAAATGGACCTAAACGACGCCGTTCGAAGACTAATGGACGATTGATTCATTAAGACTTACTGGAACTGTTTCGTTGTTATGAAAAACAGAGGACTAACAATTACTGGAACTATTAAGATCCGACAATCTGATCTCGGCGGGTCAATCAATCAGACAGTGAAGCAACTGGGCATGAGTAAGATTAATGTTAATTCAGCTAATGAACGTTCAACTAAGAGTAATTTAGGCTTATGTAACTCATAAATATACGTTCTATCTATGGATCGTTATTGCAGTATACTTACACCAACAATAAGAGGAGAAACTATTAGGTAAACCAATAAATGATCCACTATTTTTTAAATTCTGAGAAAATATATTTTATAATATAAATATATCCTGCAAGTAAACCACTATGAATATAAACCGAATAGACTAAAATCTAGACTCTAGATCCTTGACTTCTATATGTAGAAACGAATACCAATTTCGTCAAGAAATAGTGGATCACTTATTGGTATACCTAATATATTATTTATGGAATGGCCAGCCTATAGTCAGTGATACCACTCAGTAAAATCAGACATTTTATGGTCAGAAACCTGACGCATTATTTCCAAGTGGAGACCGACTTTTAGTGACGTCGATGATCTCGACCAGTTTCAAGAAGGGACGAACCGAGTCGAACGAAGGCGAGTCGAGTTCGGACTTTAATTAATAGCCGGATCGAAATTTACAGTAATTGAGCAACAGGCTGCAAGAGATACGTCTATCGTTCGCACAGCTCGGCCTGGCCCGATATCACGCAACAAGCCCGAAGATTATCGGATGGGGAATAGTATGCACTCGACCCCATGAATTCCAATTAAAAGGCTATCGTAAGTATTTATAGTCTAAAGACGGGGACGATATCTGCCCGCCACAATGCCCGTTAAGATGATCAGGTTTAATTACGCACCTCGTAAACCCTTTACTCGATCCGAGGAGTGGATGTTGTCGCGACTGAAATTCAGGCAAACTGAATATGTACCATGAGGATTCGTAATTACCTGAAAAGACACAAGACATACGTCGATGTTAGATATTTATACATTTACATTACATCTCCCAATTTTCAAAGCATAGTATTAAATTGTACCACATGAAATTGCTGATATTCGAATAGTTCTCATTCGACAAAAGCTTTTTTAATCGTCACGGTGTTACGGTGTTTATTACAACGCAAACTAAAATAGCTAAATTAAATTTTGTGAATCTTACAAATTATTATTAGGAAACATACGTTTCAGAAGTCGTTTATAATAAGAGAGTTTTAGAGTGGAAAGGGTTAACAATATTATTCCAAAACATATGATACAACCTAATCAAATAAATATATTAATAAAGATTAATGTTATTTGTGCCTTATTCTAGTAGAGGATATAAAATTCCAATTTTAACTTTTATATATTTATGCCCAAAATTTCCAATCTGCATAAACTTCCATAGTCCAGTGATCGTTCAACGTTCAGAATAATAAATAATGAATTCTCTAAATGAAATATTTCCGCCTGACACACGAGATGCCCTTACGCAATTCGCAGATAGCACACGAGTGACCATACGGGATTATATTACGTCCGCGAGCGGGGGAAATTACGCGGGAACGTAATAAAGCTTCCTGTTTTCGGCGAAAATTCTCCGTCGAAAGAGGGTAGGGACTCGACGGGTTCAAGCGAAAGAGTAATGAAACGGCTGCAAGTGTAATATGAAATAACGAGAAAACAACCGGGGGAGGCCGACGGATTCTTGGGAGCTTCCGCGGGAGGCTCGAGGAACGTCGGAGTGTTTGAAATTTGTTTAGCGGAGAAACTTGCAGCCCGCTTCTTCTTCCATCTGCTTTTTTATTAGAAGCCCTAGAGACGCCCAGAACAGCCGACGAGGAATATTTGATCGAGGCTGAAACTTTCGTCGTGGATATTTCGAAATTTTTTTCGACGGCGCTCTCTCCCGCTGTTAGGGGATGATAAAAATTATGTATATAAAAAAAAAGATAGCACAATCTCTGTTACGGAAATTAATAGAAGCATACAGTACTCTTCAGTTCGGTAAACGTATGAAGAGTTCAAGGAGTAAACGATCATAGTCGGTAGAAGTAAAACTTTCAGTATTCGAAAAACAAACTTTGTAAACTCCCTCTAACTATAGACAATACAAAAATTTAATATTCTTTTTTATAATGGGTTTTCGAATCTTTTTTAGAACGTTAAATGCTCTTTTGAAGTCCGTTCATAAATTTTGTGTAATGTATACTTTTCTGTTACTGTTATTATACTACAGATTGATAGCTTCCATCATATTTGATTTTTAAATAAAAAATGTCTTGATGTTTCATAA